GTGTGTGCGTGTGTGCGCGTGTGTGCGTGCGTGTGTAGGACTGGAGGATCCATGTGGACCAGATGCATCAGCACAGAGATGGTATCAGCTCCTCTCTACATGAAGCCAAGGTCTGTCACTTACCTACAGCAGCTTTACACTAGGGCGATACAACCACAACGATATATTAGTCTGGGCCATACAACCACAACGATATATTAGTCTGGGCGATACAACCACAACGATATATTAGTCTGGGCGATACAACCACAACGATATATTAGTCTGGGCGATACAACCACAACGATATATTAGTCTGGGCGATACAACCACAACGATATATTAGTCTGGGCCATACAACCACAACGATATATTAGTCTGGGCGATACAACCACAACGATATATTAGTCTGGGCGATACAACCACAACGATATATTAGTCTGGGCGATACAACCACAACGATATATTAGTCTGGGCGATACAACCACAACGATATATTAGTCTGGGCCATACAACCACAACGATATATTAGTCTGGGCGATACAACCACAACGATATATTAGTCTGGGCCATACAACCACAACGATATATTAGTCTGGGCAATACAACCACAACGATATATTAGTCTGGGCGATACAACCACAACGATATATTAGTCTGGGCGATACAACCACAACGATATATTAGTCTGGGAGATACAACCACAACGATATATTAGTCTGGGCGATACAACCACAACGATATATTAGTCTGGCCGATACAACCACAACGATATATTAGTCTGGGCCATACAACCACAACGATATATTAGTCTGGGCCATACAACCACAACGATATATTAGTCTGGGCGATACAACCACAACGATATATTAGTCTGGGCGATACAACCACAACGATATATTAGTCTGGGCGATACAACCACAACGATATATTAGTCTCGGCCATACAACCACAACGATATATTAGTCTGGGCGATACAACCACAACGATATATTAGTCTGGGCGATACAACCACAACGATATATTAGTCTGGGCGATACAACCACAACGATATATTAGTCTGGGCCATACAACCACAACGATATATTAGTCTGGGCGATACAACCACAACGATATATTAGTCTGGGCCATACAACCACAACGATATATTAGTCTGGGCGATACAACCACAACGATATATTAGTCTGGGCGATACAACGATATATTAGTCTGGGCGATACAACCACAACGATATATTAGTCTGGGCGATACAACCACAACGATATATTAGTCTGGGCCATACAACCACAACGATATATTAGTCTGGGCCATACAACCACAACGATATATTAGTCTGGGCGATACAACCACAACGATATATTAGTCTGGGCGATACAACCACAACCATATATTAGTCTGGGCGATACAACCACAACCATATATTAGTCTGGGCGATACAACCACAACGATATATTAGTCTGGGCGATACAACCACAACGATATATTAGTCTGGGCGATACAACCACAACAATATATTAGTCTGGGCCATACAACCACAACGATATATTAGTCTGGGCGATACAACCACAACCATATATTAGTCTGGGCGATACAACCACAACCATATATTAGTCTGGGCGATACAACCACAACCATATATTAGTCTGGGCGATACAACCACAACAATATATTAGTCTGGGCGATACAACCACAACGATATATTGGGGCGATACAACCACAACAATATATTAGTCTGGGAGATACAACCACAACGATATATATTAGTCTGGGCGATACAACCACAACGATATATTAGGGCGATACAACCACAACGATATATTAGTCTGGGCGATACAACCACAACGATATATTAGTCTGGGCCATACAACCACAACGATATATTAGTCTGGGCGATACAACCACAACGATATATTAGTCTGGGCGATACAACCACAACGATATATTAGTCTGGGCGATACAACCACAACGATATATTAGTCTGGGAGATACAACCACAACGATATATTAGTCTGGGCGATACAACCACAACGATATATTAGTCTGGCCGATACAACCACAACGATATATTAGTCTGGGCCATACAACCACAACGATATATTAGTCTGGGCCATACAACCACAACGATATATTAGTCTGGGCGATACAACCACAACGATATATTAGTCTGGGCGATACAACCACAACGATATATTAGTCTGGGCGATACAACCACAACGATATATTAGTCTCGGCCATACAACCACAACGATATATTAGTCTGGGCGATACAACCACAACGATATATTAGTCTGGGCGATACAACCACAACCATATATTAGTCTGGGCGATACAACCACAACGATATATTAGTCTGGGCGATACAACCACAACGATATATTAGTCTGGGCGATACAACCACAACGATATATTAGTCTGGGCCATACAACCACAACGATATATTAGTCTGGGCGATACAACCACAACGATATATTAGTCTGGGCCATACAACCACAACGATATATTAGTCTGGGCGATACAACCA